TGCGTTGCACCAGAACATATTTTTTTCCTCTCTGAAAATTCTGTTGATGGGAATCCTTCCTACACTGCAACATGAATGCTCAGTATTTATGGTGTTAACAGACTAGAGATTGACAGGTGGACAGGAACCTGGCCACCTGCAGGATGGGGAGGACCACAGGTGAGCAGGATGGGGAGGACCACAGGTGAGCAGGATGGGGAGGACCACAGGTGAGCAGGATGGGGAGGACCACAGGTGAGCAGGATGGGGAGGACCACAGGTGAGCAGGATGGGGAGGACCACAGGTGAGCAGGATGGGGAGGACCACAGGTGAGCAGGATGGGGAGGACCACAGGTGAGCAGGATGGGGAGGACCACAGGTGAGCAGGACAGTGCCACAAGGGACCAACGTGGGGAGGGAGTGAACTACCAAAGCAGATGTTTCCAAACCGTAGCATAAATTAGGTCTCAAGAAAGCTCTTACCACAGAATGAGTAGGAACTAGTGTCCTGAGCTTTATATTCTTTCTCTACCCAATCCTCCCTCCCCCACACACACCCCTCTGCTCTCTGCATCCCTGCTCTTCATACCTACAGGGTGTATTTGTTAAAAATTTCTTTTAAATTTTTTTTTAAATCCTCACCCAAGGATTTTTTTTCTATTGATTTTTAGAGAGTGGAAAGGAAGGGGGGGGGGAGAGAGAGAGAGAGAGAGAGAGAGAGAGAATGATTGGTTGCCTCCTACATGAGCTCCAACTGGGGGGATCAAACCTGCAACTGAGGTAGTGCCCTTGACCAGGAACCATCCAGCCTTTGGTGCGTGGTCAGATGCTCTAACCACTGAGCAACCTGCCGGGGCAAAAATTCCAAGTTTCACACTAACATTTCCCAACTATTTCCCACGGGGAAAAAAAAGAAAAAAAATGTTATTTTGAATAATTTCAGATTGAGGAAAAGTTGCAGAAAACAAAAAATGCCTATATTCTTTCGATGAGATTCCACAAATGTCAACATTGTACCACATTTGCGTTTTCATGGTCCTCTCCTGCCTCCGTTCCTCCTTCCCTCTCTCCCCATCTCATATACAAGTATATTTTTCTGAGAGTAAGTTACAGACATAAAGATAATTTACTCCTAAATACATCAACAAGTATTTCCTAAAAACAAGGACATTCTTTGCAAAATCCCAGTACAAGAATCTGAGCCAGGAAACTGCCATTGACACAGCACTGCTATCTCATCTGCAGACCATATTCAGATTTGTCAATTGTCTTACAAACCTCCTTTATAAGTGTCTGGTTCCAGAGCTAATTCAGAATCACATGTTTGATTTAGTTGTCATGTGGTTTTAGTCTCCTTTAATCTGGAACAATCCCTCGGCTTTTCTTTGTCCTTTATAACCCTGATATATTTGGAGATAGAGACCATTTATATTGTAGAATGTCCTCAGTTTGGGTTTGTCTTATATATTTCCTCATGATTAGGTCCGAGTTATGCACTTTTAGCAAGAATATCAAAAATTATATTGTATCCTGCTTAGTACATCAGTCAGGAGGTATGCGATATCTATATTTGACTTTTATTGGGGGTTGTGTTTTGGGGGGCCTTGCAAAATTTTTTAATGTAGTAAAATTCATCAGTCTTTTCTTTTATTGAATCTGGTTTTTGAGTTGGTTAGAAAGCCATTCCCTACAACAAGGTCAAAAACAAACTCACCCATGTTTTCTTGTATGACTTCACTTTTTATACTTATGCTTATGAAGAATTTCTAGTGGCCAGAGAAAATGCTAATGTAAATGTTCCACTGAATAGGAAACACAGTGTGTGATGGCACATTACTAAAAGTAAAATTTTACATATTAACAATGGTGATCTCTGAATGGTAACAGAATGGACATTTTTATTATCTTTTTTTTATTCTTTTCTACATTTTCCAATTTTATGATGTATTATTTTTATAATCAGAAAGAAATACAATGTTGTTTTTAAATATTTCCCCCAAATTCTTCAATATCCCAAGAAATAATGAAAATTGGTCAGAATGACTTGACATAGTCCAAGGATTTCTGTATAGGTTAATGACTGTAAATGTCAAGCCAAATACTTCAGTGGATTCAGAAAAGAATTGATTGAAATGATTAAGATAATTTCATTGTGTTAGTGACCGGTGTCCACGATGACATTCTTTTTAGAAATATCCTGAAAGAGAAGTGAATCATGACAAATGGGAGCCCGTGTACTGGGCATGCTTGGGAAGAGTACAGTGATGTGCTGAATAACATGACTGATGAAATCAAACAGACTTGAGTTTAAATCCTAGTTCATTTACTTACTACCCTTGTCACCTTGAGCAAGTTAATTAGCCTCTCTCATATCAGGTTTTTTTTATAAAACAGAGTTAATAATATCTCTCCTACAGAGTTTATGTCTGATTTAGATGTTATAAAACATAGAAAGTACTTAATATAGTCCCAGGTTATACATTTTCATGAAAGGACTCCACCCACTAGATGAATGGACTTGGTTACTATCCAGACTTCCTGATGGTTACAAAATAGAAGATAGCTCATTTCTGCAGACTCCCCTTGGCATCTTTGTTTTACAATGTGAAGTTGTAAAAATGGATGCTTTCTTGTTTATTTCTATAACTGAGTGATTTGTAATGGGGGTTGTCTCCGCACAGTTTATAAAAGCTCCCCTATAAACTGTTTCAGTGCCACTTTTAGAATTACTAATAAAAATTTAGCTGATACCACTTGACTCCAATTCTGATAAAGTTCAAAGACTCTTCTCAAAAAGGCATATTTTTACTTATGGAGACTTAGCAGATGGTGTAATTGCAAACTCAGAGTTGCAGAACTAGAGGTCTCTTGGCGACATCATGCTGTTTCTCCTTTTGTATACAAAGCATAGAAACCAACTGCAGCTCAGAAGTCACCCAAAGCACATCTCATTCTTAGCTGTGGCTTAGCTTCGTAATTAGTGCAGCGAACCCATGGAGCTGTACCCAAGTGTACAAGTGTTGTTACAACAAAAAGCTAGTACATAGCAGCACATGAAAGACTTTTTGTTATGTTAATATGGGGTCTGCTCAGTAAACAGTATATTATGTTGATGTGTATCCTCTGTTAGAACAGTAAGAATTTGAACTTCAAAGGATTCAAAGATTTATAATACAAACAGATATTTAGCTAGGAAAGTTGAGTGTAAGATTTAATTAAGTAGCATGACTTGTATGGCATTCACTTAGCATTTGATTGATAATCTCTTCAAGCTTAAATTTTGCTTTTTTTTCCCCCTTGGAAGACTTAACAACCAATGGATTAATCCATAAACCGCAACCCCTAGAGAATCGAGAGCGACAAAAGTCATCAGACATCCTGGAGGAATTAATTGTTCAAGGAATAATACAAAGCCACAGCAGAGTATCTAGAAATGGAGAATCATACGATGTCACGGCAAGTAATTTTACAATTAACATTAGCTTATAGTTAAAAATAGCAATAGAATATGATTGATCCCAAGTTATTTCCAGCATATGCATCTTATAGTCACAGTACAGACAGTATTTATCTTAGCCAGTTTTTTCTCCCATAAATTCCCTCACCTTTCTGCACACTATCCTTCTCTATGGATTCAGAATTGCCCTAATCATTAATGATTAATGAATTCAATAGAACATATCTTGGGTTTTACTAAATTTGAGACACAATAAGCCCCATTGAATAACATGCCTCATTCTTTCAGCAATTTTTACTAAGCATTGCCTATGTACTAGGAACTGTGAATATAAAACTGAATTCTGATTTATCTAATAAGAAAATAAGCCTTAATACCAAAGCTAAACCAGATAAGCTTATATATTTATATATACAGTCTAAGGTCAAATATGAGAAAATGCAGTTATAGAAATGGTTTTCCTCTTATTTGTCTTTGTTGATTCATCTTGACTAATCTTCATTGTTTTTCCTTTAGTGTGAGTAATATGTTTACTCTGATTTTAACTTATTGTGGCCAAAGTCTTGAGGTCTTAATTTTTTAATAAGTTCTGTGCAAATTTGTGAAGAGGATAGCAGGTTTTGTTGCTGTTTTTGTTATTTTGTTTTGTTTTCTTATTTGTTTGTTTTGTAAGCCAGTGCACTGAGGCAGCACCAATAGTCCTAACGCATAGTCAAAAGAAAGAAGATAAAAGAAGAAATAACAAGGAAAAGAAGCCTAAGGGGGGGAAAAATGGATGGGAAAGAAAAAAAGAGACAGAAATGGTGGCAATAGAGCCCAGAAATCATATCAATGGCTTGTGTTGTAGGGAAAACAGTCAGCTGGGAATAAAAAGATACATTATTTAAATAGAGTTTGCACCTAGACCAAGTCACTAAGTGTTTGAATAAAGACAATTTTCTCTTCTGTTTAGGAAATGCTGAGTATTCATGAATAAAATCTAAAGTGGCATTTTCTTTTGAAGAAGGAAAATAAGCCCTG